TTTTTCAACATTTATTTATTTTTGGGACAGAGAGAGACAGAGCATGAACGGGGGAGGGGCAGAGAGAGAGGGAGACACAGAATCGGAAACAGGCTCCAGGCTCTGAGCCATCAGCCCAGAGCCCGACGCAGGGCTCGAACTCACGGACCGCGAGATCGTGACCTGGCTGAAGTCGGACGCTTAACCGACTGCGCCACCCAGGCGCCCCAGTTTTTGGTCTTTGATGATGGTTAGTTTTTCCTCTCCGACTCCTTTAAGAGCTTCTATTTGACTTTGATGTTCTACAGTTTTATTCTGTATCTACCTGTGGATTAATTTGATTTCTAGCGTCTGAGGGTCTGTGTCTTTATTCAGTGGTGGGAATATTTTGCTATTTTGTCTTTGAAACTTTGTTTTCCCCCGTTCTCCTATTGTGTCCATCTGGAACTTTATTTAGACAAATGTAGGACCTTCTTATGCTACTCTTTGTGTCTTCATGTCTTATGTATTTACCTTTTCTTTGTTTCTCTACTGCTATTTTGGGAATTTCTTCAGATATGTTTTCCAGTGTGCTGACTCTTTGTTCAACTTTGTCTAATGGCTGTTTAATCCATCTACTAAGTTAATTTTGATTATCCATTTTTCGCATTCTAGAATCTTCATATTTAATTTTGATAGTCTTTTTATCTTCAATATCTTTTCAACTTATTCTTTTTTTCTTAAACATATTTTATATTCTGCATTTGATAATTCTAATATCCATAGACTTTGCTTGTCAATGCGTATTATCATACATGGTGGCTTTATTTCCTGTGTGTCCAATGATTTATGATAAAGAACTCATGAGGTCCTCATTTAAAGCACATTTTTCCAGAGACAATTTCTGTCTGCTTCTGTGAGGTGCCTATTGACCTACCTATGTCTATTTTAAAATATATTTAGGCTACACATGAGTGTGAGCTTGTGGTTAGAAATTTTCAAAGATTTTTTTCTATAGTTTTCTATTCATTTTTTAAAATTATTATAATAGTTTTCCATTCGAATTCTAAATGGAGCCAGGAGTGAAACAAGCCAATCTCTTTCTGAAGGAAAGCTTTGTTTCTTGTTCCTTCACTAAAGGGGTCATTTTTTTGGGGGGGATCCTGTTATACAGGGGTTTTCTGTTCAATTTTTTGACTACATCAGGCTTCAGGCTCATCTTTTGTTACCTGAACACAATCATAATCCAAGCTGTAAGCCAGCAAATCAGTAGAGGCCTCCAGGGTAAAGCCCCAAATGCAATGCCTGCTGAGCCTATGGAATAATTTCTAGCCTCAGTGTTATTCCATTCATTTATAAATTTTTTTGACATTTATTTATTTTTGAGAGACAGAGAGAGGCAGACTGCAAGTGGGGGAGGGGCAGAGAGAGAGGGAGACACAGAATCCAAAGCAGGCTCTGAGCTGACAGCACAGACCCGGACGCAGGGCTCGAACCCACAAACCGTGAGATCATGACCTGAGCTGAAATTGGATGCTTAACCGACTGAGCCACCTAGGTGCCCCTTATTCCATTCATTTATAGCTAGCAAAACTGTGTTTTAAGAAAGCAAGTTTTTGTATTAATCCAGTCTTTGTAGTTGCCTTATACTAGAAAGGAGCTCTCTGACACTAAAAGTGTCAGAAAAGAGATTTATTCATGCCACCTGTGAAGAACACTGATTCTGATATCTCAAACATGCGGGGCTACTAACAAGAAGTGACATCACCATAAAGGGATTTATAAAGATTATTATCTATCAAGGCTAAATGAGCTATTTTCTATGGAGTCTCATGAAATTTTGAGCTGGAAGATGGAGACTAGCTAGTCCAACATTGTTATCTTCAGTGTCCCTTTAAGAGTTCAAGAAATATATTCTGTGCTTACCGTGTATTGCTTCTGTAGTAAGCACTGGAAACAATGAATTGTTTCTGTCCTTCCCCATGATGATGTCCTTGCCCCATGAGGTGATGACCTA